AAAAAAAAAAAGGGTAAACTATGCACAAAAGGAACACAGCGTGGACACTACAACATGAAAATAGCATGAGTGAAGTATGGGCGTACATTCTCGAATAATCATGATGTGCAGTAATAGCGTGTAAATCTACTGACGTACAAGCTAATGCAGTGTGGCAATTTCACTCAATTAAGAGTTGCCTGAGGATGGTCTTGTAGGGCCAAAACGTGTTGCAATAATTAAGTAAAACGTGATTTTAATGAAATTTTATGAATTTTAAATGTCATTGTAAATGATATTTTATAATAAAAGTTGTGTTACATTAGAGAGGGAAGCAAGTGGACAAGTGTTATATCAATACAACAGGATGCTGAAATATAATATTATAATATGTGACATGTCACCGTAATTTTATTTATTATATACCAAGTCAGCCATGTCTTTTTGACGAGTATGCTTCTAGGAGCATAACATTCTGGTATTAGATGTATTCGTAATTAATTAAATTTTTGTCACATTTATATCATTGGCTAGAATGGGACAAGCCCAGTTTTAATACTTCCTCCTTGCATCTGAAAATGACTAGCTGAATGCAATGTCTAGACCACAACCTTTCTCTCTGTACCTCTTCTGTAACTTTTCAAACATCCCACACCCAGTACCAGAAACAATGTGGGTATGATATACATTTTAATTTGGACAGCCAGAGTGATATGATTAAAATACTTTAAGTGCAAGCTGGTGATTGTAATTAAAATTCCCACCTCTTGCTTCCAATTACAAACTCCTTAACATTTTTGGATCTTCAGATACAGAAATACTGGCAGGTACTCCATGTGAATATTAAGGTCATGGGTTGAAAATGGAAGACACACAATAATCTGATTAGAGCCACAGAACAGGCTGTCATGTACGCTTAGCTGACTTTGAGGACAGCTGCATGAACCATTGATATGTAGTTTTGGGCTGCAAAAATTAAAGTACATGCACTGAACGCTTGGAATTTTAAAGTTTATGGCTACAATGTACAAAACAAAAATAGTAATTTCAGCACCAGAAACAACAATAATAACAAAAACAGTGTGAACATCTAAAGTGATATTCTGTATAGAAAATGTCACTAAATATTATTATAATAAACCAATCAAAGTGGATGAAACTGGTGGAATATAAGTAAGCAAGGAAGAAAGGAGAAATGGAATGAGGAATTGTAACAATCTGGAAAAAGACCTAGGGATATATGAGAGAATAATATTAAAATTGGTCTTAATGAAGTAAAATGTGAGATGTAAATTGAATTCATCTGGATCATGAAAGGGTCCAGTGGTGCACTCTGACATGATACTTAACATTCAGGACCCATAAGAGACAGAATTTACTGATTCAATGTGCAACTATTAACTTCTTAGGTTGGACTCTGTTAGTTAAATTAATTTAACAAAACAGAGACTCATGGTACTGTCATTTTCAAGTGTTAGTATATGTGCGCCCTCCCCTAACAAGTTTTGAACCCACATTCTTCTTGATACAAAAAAGGTACTCCATGGTTTTAGTCTGCAAGTGAACTATACTGACCCAGCGACCGCCATTTGTCGGCTTTAGCAGACTGGGTGTGTTGCATGGTCAGTGCAATGAATCCCTATGGCCATTAATTTCGGTTTCCTAGACTGAAGCCGCTATTGACTTCAAATAAGTAAAGCTATCCCTGTACCAGGCCATGAAGGCCCATAGGGTTGTGAGACGCTGAGGGTCCCACATAATGTAAACAATCAGCTCAAAGATCGCGGTAAGCTTGACAGCCTTACGCGCTGGCCGTGCTTTACCCCCCAGGAAACTTATTAATTCCTGGTACTCATTTCTGTTAGAGGCTGAGTCAACCCCAGGGCCATAGTGCGGCTGGAAGGATTAGATCAATAGCTCCTCAATTACCATCACAAGGCTGAGTGGACCTCGTTCCAGACCCACTACTTCTCAGAAAATGTGGTAGTGCCAGGAATCGAACCCGGGCCCTGTATCTGTAGCTGGAAACTCTGACCACTAGACCACAGAGGCGGTTTTTCTTTATACACAGTTTAACATTAATCCATCTGAAGCCATGCCCACTACATGCACTTTTTAATTTCCTTCAATAAAGAATTCCAATTATTATACATCACAGACTTCTGAAATGGGATCAATACTAAACAGAACCACAGCATCCACTAGTGAAAGGTGATTCCTCTACAAGCAAAGTAATGTATAACATTTTAATCGCATTTGAAATATCAAAATGTACTGGATAAGATACTCACGGAGCTGAGCCCTTCTTGAGAAGCCACCAACTGTGCAACTACTCAAAAATTTCCAAGCATTTTATGGAACCAGAAGGTTCATTACTGTGCTCACAAGAATCTTCCGCTGGTCCCTATCCTGAACCAAACGAATCCAATCCACACCATCCCATCCTATCTCTCTAAGATCCATTTTAACACTGTCCACCAACCTACACCTTGGTCTTCCTAATGGTTTCTTTCCTTCTGGCATTCCCACTAATACCCTATATGAATTCCTCTTTACCCCCATTCATGCTACATGCCCTCCCCATCTCATCCTCCTTTACTTTATTATTCTAATTATACTTGCAGAACAGTACTAGTTATGAAGCTCTTCAGTATGCAATTTTCACAGGATAAGACAAGTGATATAAAACCTCTTCTTCTATAATCCCATACTCACCTTCATGTGGTGCAGCCTTTTCACTAACAACCGCCAATCAACACATGGCATTACAGTTACCGTGCATGTGGAAAAACATCATTATATCACTACCATGCTCATGACAATTTAGTTTTATGTCTGATTAGCATTTTCTGTTGAGAGAATACAACTATGACAGCTGAGTCAAATCTAAATTTGCCAATGAAGCTTGGCAAACTGTGCATACAGAACACCTAATGAAGTTCATATTGGAACACATCTGTCCAGTTACTTCCAATCCACAACTGGCTACACCAGATTTGCTAAATCTTTACAACTTTTTAATTTTTTTTTCAAATATTTCATTATAAACATCCAATAAATTTTTGGAAATGAATGCCCTGAATTAGTAATAGATGGTGATGATATTAATGGGTTATGGGAAATCACAGTTCTACCTTACAAGACGTTGTAACAGGATGAAATAAACTGATTTGCTAAAGGGTCAGCTCCAGCATTAGGCTTTAATGTTAACTATAACTTTAAGTTCTATTGCCAGATGGATAACTTACTGAATAAATCACAAAGGGTTTAAGTATTGAATGAAAGCAGAATTATCTCTAAAGGAACATAAAATTTTTCAGTTTCTGTTCAATAACACCAAAATTACCCTGGCCATCATTATCTGTGCATTTACAGTTTGTTATGCAATACAGGAGACAGAAGTTCATGAAAGTAAAAAAAATAATAATAATTTAAAGCACCACAGAGTGTGATCTAAATTTACTGTATGATAGCCATATATACCTATGAATGAAGCGGAGATTTACTTGCAGTAACTTAACCTAAGAAAGGTATCCAGTTCTTCTGTCACACAATCTGAGTTCTGTTTGTGACTATTACTATTAACACTGGCCATTATAATTTAACTTAATACACTCAATTACCGACTTCAAATTAACTGAAACGCCACTCCACAACGACTGCTGTCATGTATTATTTCGAAAATACATCTCAAGAATTTTAAAGCATGCTGCTTAAAACATAACCTGCCTAGCAACTGTTACCATACTGCTATAACCTTCATTTTACAAATTACTATCAATGGCTTAACTTATTATAACAGTCAGATACTAGGTATATCATTAATAAAAGTTAGCTTACCTTCGCCCGTCACATACCATGTAACTTCTTCTACATACAGTACCATATCATGTGACAATAATGACCTATGCACTAATCTGGATTAAATACGATACTGCGACGACACACTTGCGATTTCCGAGTCATTAGTCGCAGCTGATAGCTCTGGACGTCGGCACGTAAATAACCGACCACAAACTCATTAGTTAATAGCAGTACATGGATATGCAATACTAATACGTTGGGACATAAGCGTTCAAAAATGAATGTGGCAGGTAAGTCCCGTACGATGATATTATCACGTCAAAAGCAAGCCGAAATGTCGTCTCATGAGCTAACAGATAACAGATTGAACTTATGTACCACAATTAATTTACCCGCATAAAAAAAGCCTTCCCCCGTATAGAACGTATAAGATACCGGGTAACCCCGAGAGTCTGTCTGTACTGTGTGGAGAAGGGTACGGTATTTTCTTACGCCGTGCCATAACTCAGGCGGTCAGTCTGTTTAGTCGCCCGCTCGGGTTCGAGCCTAGGTCAGGTCATGTGGGATTTGTGGTGGACAAAGTGGCGCTGGAGAGGGTTTTCTCCAATTACTTTGGTTTCCCCTGCCAATTGTCATTCCACCGACTGCTTCACACACATCATCTGTCATCCTGGGCTGATATAATAGGCCAAACAGTGGCCAATTTGCCAAGTGGACTCAGTCTCACCCCACCCCAAGAAAAAAAGTTATTCTCCTGCTCCAAGCAAGAACCCAGTTTCCTCGTCCATACAGCACATAGCCCAGTCTTGAAAACACTGTGCCAAATGGACTCAGTCTCACCCCACCCCAAGAAAAAAAGTTATTCTCCTGCTCCAAGCAAGAACCCAGTTTCCTCATCCATACAGCATGTGGACCAGTCTTGAAAACACTGAGCCATCACCAGACCTGTTGTCCACTGGATTGGATATTTTAAGTATCATGTACAAGCACTGTCTGATTGAAAGCATTCATATCCCAATTCATGTACAGACATTCTATTTTGGCACTTTCATATTTACACTGCTTTAAATTGAATTTAAGCAATAATTTATGGCCTAGTTTAGGCCACTATAGGTCACTCTTTCACAGATGGTGATTTGGTGCAACTAACTGCCCTTGTACATCTGAGATACTGATATATTTGGTTTTTGGACTTTATCCATCATCCTGGTTTTTAAGATAACTAATAAAAACATGACGTTTCAGAAACTGGATCTGTTTCCGTCTTCAGGTGAATTCCGTCCTCAATCACTGGTCCAGTGATTGAGGCTAGCTCTTTCTAACGGACCCAACAGAAAAGGTGTTTTCCTTCACCTGAGGACGGAAACAGATCCAGTTTCCAAAACGTCGTGCTTTTATTAGTTATCTTAAAAACCAGGACGATGGATAAAGTCCAAAAATTCAATATATCAGTGTGTTATACACCATCGTCAGAATCCTATAGTAACTACATCTGATATAGTCTGGGAGAAGAAATATTTTAAAACTGTACATTTACATGTAGCATAATATTTTAGCAGAATTAATCCAAGCAGTAGGTAATGCATTATGTTCAGAGATCCACACACTTATTCTGTTTGGAATGGAAAAGAAATGTCACAGCAGTGGGGAGGCTTATATTATTTTCCCTTTTTATAAATTAGGTGATATAACTGACTTCAGGATGGGGAATACAATCATACAAAATTGTATCCAAAATCGCTCCCTTAACATTAACTACACTTAAACAAAATTAAAATTCTTGGTGATTTTCAAGTGGTTTTTGAGGCCTTTCCTCTGCATTTCTCACATATCCAACCTTTTCCCCATATATGTAATACTCAAAGAAGGCGAGGGGGGGATATTATATAATTTTTTCTTCTTGCTACTATAACAAAAAATCAGCAACTTGCATTCATTTGTTCCATATATATGCTTCTTATATATTTCCTACAGCTACGGCTCCAGTTATTTGTATAGATAACACATCCCATCTTTTTCTAATTCCAAAATACCTGCATAAATGACACTTAGCAACCTTTAAAGTGATTTAGAACTGGCTCATTCTCCAGACAAAATCCATAAGTCGCACTGATCCTTCAAAATACTTTACCTGTTTCTGGAAATTTTCCTGATTCATATTTCCAATTAAAAAATACTAGTCAATGGGACAGTTTTCAAATTAGTTCCTGTAAGATTAGTGAGAAAATTGAGGTGAGGCAATTATATGGTAAAAAAAGAAATTATGTAAATTTTTTCCTCCAAAACAAACGGACATCATGCAAAGGGAGATATGGTATAATTGTGCTTGGTTTCATACCAGTGTATAATCATATAATCCTGTATATGCCATTACCCCCTTAGAATCTTCTTGATGGCATTTTAAGGGTACCCTCCTTTAAGATAAGCATGTCATGTTGCCTGACAGAGTGACAGGCTGGATGGTAGGATTGGACAGACATGGTACAGAAAAGTAACTGACAGGCAGCAGTCAGAGGGACTGTGACTCACATATCTGGAGAGATTTATGATGTTGAAAGGGTCATAGAAAAAGCAAGAGGATTGGAAATTTTGAAAAAGAGGAATGCAAGCTGAGGGGGAATAGGGGATCTGGGTAGAGACTGAACAAATAAGGAAGACTACAGTGTGAGTCCCAGAATGAAATGTACAGAGCTTAGGGAATCCTGGCCAGGTGACATTAGGGAAATTTGACTACCTCAGAAGAATCGTGTAGAGCTTATAGAATTCTTAAATAAACCAAGAAAAAAGTATGTCTCAGTTATGAACTTGTATCAATAGTGCGGAGCCAGGATAGTGCAGTCGGTATTGTGACTGACTACAGGCTGAGAAGTCAGAGTTTTACTTACCGTAGGGGCAGGATTTATCTCCTTTCCATATCATCCAGACTAGTTCTGGGACCCACCCAGCCTCCTATCCAATGGGTACTGGNGGGGGGGTTAAGGCGGCCAGGGCGTTAAGCTGACCACTCACCTCCATCTAGAGCCAAGGTCAAGAATATTTAGATCTAGACATCCCCTCCCCAATACATCTATATGGCATAGTGCTTAATTAGTTAAGCACAGGGGCATCATCAATTGCTACAGTTTAAGGCTTCATAATATCCTCTGCTGGTCAGAAGCCAGTGAATCATATACAGTGAACAACACAATTGAGTGCAATCAATTTGATTTGATTATGTAGAAGTTTTCTAAGTAATTAAACCAAATTAGCCAGTGTCCAATAGTGTGACGGACCATGATGCCTTCTGTTAAAACTTATTATTAGTCTTGAAAAGCCTTTAGTTTTTAAATGAGAGTAGTATACTGATTTTGTATCAACTGCAAAGAATAACTATGTAGCTTGTAACTAATTACCTAATTGGAGCAGAGTCCTCTTTGAGATGCTAAAATTTGCTAAGCTAGTCAGAAATTAAATAAACTTCCAGAATATTATTAAACTTGAATGTTCATTACCACACTAACAGAAGCCTGCTAGACCCTATCCAGAGCTAAATTAATCCAATCCACATTCTCCCATCGTGTTTATGATCTATTTTAATATTATACTTCCATTTCCATCTAGGTCTTCCAAGCTGCCTTTCTCTGTCAGGATCTCCCAACAAGTTTGTATGCATTTCTCTTGTCCTCCAAACATTAACAAAAGGCCACCAGTTTCTATCCATAGCTAAATTATCCCAGTCCACATATTCCCATCCTATTCTTTTATGATTTATTTTAATATTATCCTTCCATCATCCAAGCAGTCTTTATCCTTCAGAATCTCCTAGCAAGTTTGTTGTCCTCAATGTGTGCTATGCCTCTCATCTCATCTTTCTTCATTTGATCATCCTAATACTTGACAAGGAGCATAATTTTGAAGCTTTTATTATGCAGTTTTCCCTGGGTTCCTGTCACTTCCTCCCTCTAAGGCCATATGTACTCCCCAGCACCAATCTCTAACACCCTCAATCTTTGTCCTTCCTTTAATTTGAAGGACCATGTTTTACACCCATATAAATGTTTAGATGACAAGAAGGTAAAAGATTCATTCTGTACTGAATCCCAGAACTATACATTTGTTAATTTCTTGAGTGCAATTTTCATTTATTCATTTCACGCGAATGATGCTCCATTTTTTCCTCAACAAAATGATAAATACAGTAGTTTGAGTCTAGCCTAATTTTGATCTCTACAACCACATAAAATCTTGAAAAGAAAAAAGTTCCTTTTGGAAGCTCCTGGACTTGGGACATTATATATGTTGGAAAAAATTTCAAAGAAATGACATCTACTCGTGGAGAAAAATCAAGAAATGTGCATCTCATCTTCTGGACACTGCTGCTTTCCAAGCAAGAATTCAAAGTCACTACAGAGAAAGAAATAACTATGAATTTCAATATATGAAATACTGAATCACAGTACGTCTTGTCTTTATTTCCTATTTATAACAAATACTAACTTTAATTTATTATATTATAAACCTGTACATCAATAATATATACTTCACAATTCAATTGTATATCTTACACAAAATATAATTTTTCATGTAGAAAAGGTGCAAAAAGAAAACAAATTGCTGAAAAAAAGCAATGTTGAAGGCTGAAAAGGTTTATACGGGCTCGCTGATCGGCCATAAAATTCTTCTTATGCTATGCGTGCATAAGCCATATTCTAGTGCATAATGAAACTAAACTGCAGATCATCAGACTATATGGTGGTCAAATAATCAGTTCTTCTGTATTATGAACACTGTACATCATACTGTGCAATGCAAAATCCTGTGAAACTGCCTAGCTTTTCAACTGATTAAAATCTAGATGATTAATGTGCTTACCAATTTCAGGGGAATGCCTTGCATTTGAGTACAAATATATTTATTTTTAAATTAGACTACGTTATAATTAATGTATGGCAATTCTAGAAGCTCTGCTGCTGTGGGTCTCTTCTTTGGATCATAAATCAAGCACAGCTGCACAGCTTTGAGTAGCACTGGTGGACAATCATTTCGTGTGTTGGAAAAATCGATAACATGATCTGGGTTTGTAATGGCAGCAGCTTTGGCCCATGGTTGGACAATATGTTGAAATGGTGTCTTTCCATACAACAGATTGTAAAGAATGCAGCCTAAGGACCAGATGTCTGATTTGTAACTGATCTGGAAAGGAATTAGAAATTATACTTGGATTAAAAGGATAATCAAACAAACTACTCTACAGGCATACTTAATCTAATGTCCTTAATTAGTTCCATAAAAATTCATGAAGCTAGGCACAAGAACATTACAGGGAGTGGTAGTTATATGAGTACAGGAAAAAATGGGAGATACATTCCAAATATAGATACATCCAAAATTTGGATCATAAGAACTTAAAACAGGTCTTTGCAGAGAACTGAAACTACATACTGCTTATAACCGTAATAAATATTAATACAAACAATAAAACACCATTAATACAATCCTTGTGTTGCAACTGTGACTGTTATTTGATCTTGTGTCATTCTGAAAGTGCACAGAAAAATAAAACATGAAATTAGAGAAGAATTTGCTTTTAAGATTCCTTTGCTTACCTGGATGAACAATGAATTATGAGGAGAGAGAATTAAAATAATGAAGTTGCAACATTTCAGGGGTCTTTCATGCCTGCAGGGGTAAAAAATTGTTCCAAAGATATCTGAACAGCAACATCTATTCATTTTAGAACTTCATTCAACAATTACACCTCTCAAAAATTTCCTTGACCATCTCAAGATAGGTGATGGATCCCTATGAGAAGGATTTTTTTTTTCAATTTACCTAATTCTTCCAGCCGCACTATGGCCCTGGGTCGACTCAGCCTCTAACAGAAATGAGTACCAGAAATATCCTTGGAATATTCTTGGGGGTAAAGGGCAGCTGGCTTGTAGGGCTGACAACCTTATCGCCATCTATGAGCCGATTGTCTAGAAAATGTGGGGGCCTCAACATCTCACAACCTTATGGGCCTCCATGGCCTGTTACAGGGACACCTTTACTTCTCATTATTAGTCCTTCAAAATATTTGCAACTTTCACTTAGGGCATCGACTTAAAATGCCATGGTTCTGGGAGTGATAAACCAACAATGGTTTATGCTTAAAGTCAGCTCCAAGCAACATTAGCCTGTCCTTTACTTGAAGCACCGTTTTCTGACTAAGCAACATAATATCTGGTAATATTTTCGAAAATATGCCAGTATCATCAACATAGACACCCGATGAATACTAACCAATTTCCTCAATGCTGGATAATAACATGCAGGTTATTTATCAACACTAGCTGTTTACCCCCACAATTTATCATTATGCTGTTTACCCCAACAATTTATCATTATGAATACCAGATCTTTCTTTTTAAATTATTGAATCACCCACAATTTGCACCAAACATTTCACAGTCACAATATTCTTTCTTCAAATCATTGTAAAATGGAAATGCGTTTTCCTGAATTAATGTGACTGAAAGGCGTCGTATACTGGGTAGGATAATCAATCCACATCAATAATTCTTTTGTTTGTCTAACTGCATCTAGGTTTGCTTGTTTTAAAAATTAGAGGCACTGTGTCTTTAACATACTGTTACATTTACCCTTCAACAGTTGTTCTCACCACTGTCAGTCGAACACCCAAATGCCTCACAATGTCCACTGCTCTTTTACCAGATTCAGAACATCTAATTTATTTTCCAAAGTTAATACAGTCCACCCTTCTCACAATTATAATCATAACCTTCAGACTGAGTATGTTACATTTACATAGACAAATCTAGATTCTATTCAAAGCCAGAAGATTTTGTTAGTTATACCTACTACCAACATCATTTGTATAAACCTCAAATAAAAGTGCCACAATTTTATTAATAATCCCCTAAATGTGGATCATTATTGATTATGTTACAATTGAGTTTTGTCAGCATGTGATCTTTTTCAGTTCTAGTTACACAACCACCATTATCTAGGAAGGTTCAGCAGCCCATATGCAGTACAGCTAGCCTAAATATATGTAGTGCGAATATTCCAAAATCCCTTTACCAGTATACATATTAAGGACAGTCATAGTAAGCAACTAAACTCCTATTTATGCCTTAGATCCAGTCCTGTCAAAAGTGATTGCAGATTTTTTTCTTTCTCACCTCTATTGATTGTTAAGGATACCCAACCACTACCATTATTCAAGCGTGAACTCTGCGGTCTCACGAGTGACGTCACATACCCCCACTCCTTCCATCAGTATGCAACGCTCGGTGGGCGACCCCCTCCCCCGTGGTGATGTGGCAGAAGAGCGACTGTGTTGTTACCAAGGGATACCGCAGTTGCTATGCAGCAGGAGACAACTCTCGACAGCATTGCTAGCAACACCGGTAAACGGGGCATCACACAACAAGGAATACCGTGGTTACTACCCAGCCGTAAACAACTCCTGACAGCATTGCTAGCAACACCTGTAAAGACGGCGTCAGGCAACAGTGGTACCCATCACGTAACCGTTTTCTGTGTTGTTCATGTCGAGGGTAAATAAGGAGCAGCGAACACTATTCAGTAGTAGTGAGTGAGGATTGAGCCAGTTACGAGTGAGTAATGAGTAACCAGTCAGTTACAGTCTAGCATTCACCGGAGTGAATGGAAGCAGAAGTAACTGTGATACTACATATGGCAGTAGTTGTGAGATTGTAAATTGGGTAAATGTAAGAGCGAATGTGTAATAAATTTGCTGAATCCAGAACGGCGTGAAGTTATATGTTGCGTTACATACCCAACACGTGACAATACAAAGCTCATAGAAAGATTTTCTTCAGAGATACACCTTAGCAGTGTGCAAAGTTCAGGAAATACAAATATGCTTAAACAATTTATGTGCTCCATAACTAATACATCGAGCATTTCTTGAGAAGCTAATAATCATTCAGCTAGTTAAGAAACTTATGGAACCTGAAGGTTCATTCCTCTTTATGCAAGCGTACATTACTTAACCATATGTGGTCATAGTCACCTTAAATCCAGATTGGTTCCCATTTGTACTGTGTGTAGCCTGAATTGCTTCTGGGCTCATATAATTGAAGGTTCCTGCTTGTGCATCTTTGAAAACACTTGTCATATCATTCTGAATTGATGATGCAATGCCAAAGTCAATGAGTTTCATACGTCCACCCACAAGAAGAAAATTAGCAGGTTTTAAATCAGAGTGTATTACACCTATGGGATAAAGCACATTATAATTACTTATGCATACTTCTAAACCTTTCAGTGTGAAATGACACTAATTCTGAGAGGAATGACAAACACATATACATCTCAATTCATGGCTTTGTCCCTCTAAGATAGTTAAAAATTAATGCAATTCAGTCAGTCTGATTCATCTTCCTGTGAGATAAATGAGTCTGTTTCTCCGCTGTATTACAGTTTTCCAATGATATAGAAGACCTACAACTTCAAATATGCTCTGAACTGCTTTGCCATCAGAGAAGTGCACAGGAAAGTCCATGCAAATACACAGCGAAATCCCCACTTAAGGTTTCTTTGGGCATCAGTGGATTTCTACATTAAAGTGAGGAAATTCTTAAATGGGGAAATTTCATTGACTTCAGATCACTGAAACTGAAAGTTAAATGAGAGAAAACAAATGAAGAAACATTAAATGGTGTTTCTCTCTATGTAACGCATAACAAAAACATTAAATTAACTTTTATTTGGAACATTTTTTAATGTGGAATACCGTATTTACGCATGTATAGGCCGCACATTTTTTGCCAAAAAATTCAAGAGGAAAACTGGGGTCCTGCTTAGATTCGAAATTTCCGAAATCACACTTCATTTAAAAAAAATTATATTCACAATTAGTAATACAGGGTGTAATACTCCTGAAATAATATTCCAAGAAAATTATTTTTTCTATAATTTCTGTCTGAAAATTGTGCTGCGGCCTATACACGCACGCAGCCTATACATGCGTAAATACGGTATATCTGGTAAAATTGAAATAAGGAATATTTATGCCTCTATGCAATATATTAGCTCAAATGTATCTGAAACAAACTGACTTCAGATTCCAATTTGAATAAATGTTACGCTATCCAATACAGAATGCAAAATTTTAAAAATCAGTACAAAAACACTGCATGTACTTTCTCATATACAACCGACCTTGGCTGTTACCCTGGAAATGAAATCGTTTGCTAATCAGCGGACCATTACTGGTTGTTGAATACCTGACAGCAAAGAAATATGTCTGTCTGGTAAAGCCAGTTTTGAGGAAACTGACTTTTCTTATTTGGGTTCTTAGTGCATGTTTTGTATTTTCCTGATCATACCATCTTGGCAATTTTATTTAGGAAGGTGTTCATAACTTACTGAAATTTAATCAGAATCATTAGAGCCATTTTCAAGAAAATCACCAATTTGTGTTTTGGGCCCCTATTTCGAAGCTGGTATGTTCACATTCACTGGGCACTGTCCTAAGATGGATAAACTCTTGAATAACAAACATAAATTAAATTCATCCAACCATTCAGGCACCAGTGAGGCACATATCCATATATTCATAAATACAGACAGCATACAAAGAAATACTAGTTCATAATCAGGGGGGTTAAATATGCAAATGTCAAATTCTTGAGACCGATTTTCTTTACAATTACAACACTTTCTTACATATGCTATGTAAATAAAAAAAAATAAATAAATAATAAAACTGGACTTTGAAACTTGTGTATTACAAACTGTAGCGCTGCTTCCCATTCTTGTTCTCAGTGACCACTATTACGTTAATGGATACATCACACTTTAGACAACTCATAATGCAGTGAAATTAACTTACCATTTTCATGAATATTTTTCACAGCTCTCAGAATCTCAACCCAGTAATATAAAATTGTTATTATATGTATTTGATTGGTCTTTGAAATTGTCTTGATTAGCCTGGACAGATCAGTTTCCCCTTTCTCCATCACTACGTACAGCATCTGTTTCTCCTCTGCATACTCGCTATTAAAACAATATCACACATAATAAGGAAAATTCATTTCAAATTCATTTTAATGAGAAACAACCTGAAAGCTCTGTTTCTGACCCATTCATTATGATGGATTATGCAAGCTTCACAATATTATGTACATAAGTATAGAAACAAACCTCTAACTACTTATTTTAAGATTAAATGATTTTTTGGGGGGGTGATCATTTTCTTATCTAGAATATTTCATGAAGGAAAATATGGTAGGATAAGAAGTTAAATTTTATTTAAACATGTCTGATTTTATCTTACATAAACTCTTCAGGGGTAAAAAGCTTAAAAAGTGACAGACGTGATCTGATGGATTTCTAATTAAACAGAAAAACTGTGGATGTACAATGTACAGTTCTATGTGCCTGTAAATTGTTTTTTATTTTTATATATGCCGACAATGTTTTAAAAAAAGTAGGAAGTGCTGTAAAGAAAGGGAAGAGTTTTACTTTTACCAGATGTGTCCTTAAATAGGTCACCTCATACACACAGATCAACAAAAGGTGGATTTGAGTGATATAAAAGAGTTCATAGCTAGCCAACTTGTATGCATGATCCATTATCTGGATATCAAAATGTGCAGTCAGAACCCATACTTCTACTTTCATTTAAAAATACAGGATTTTCTTATATTCATGAATGAAGAAAAATGTAAAGAAAACAATGTGGTAAAATATTTCTGGGAAAATATGCTTCCGGCACATGTGGGATATCACAGAAGTTGGATATCCGCAGAGTATAAAATTGATAAGAAACTGTCTCAAAAGTAGAAGCCATTATACTTTGTTATTCTTACTGCCATATATGCATGCAATTTATCCAGCTATATGTTTTAGGAACTCTGCTTCTGATGTACTATATTGTAAAAGGCAAAAGGTAAAGGTATCCCCTTAACAGGCTGTGGAGGCCCATATGGTTGTAAGATGTTGAGGCTCCCACATTTTCTAGACAATCGGCTCACAGATGGCGGTAAGGTTGTGAGCCTTATGTGCCGGCTGCCCTCTACCCCCAGGAATATTCCTGGTACTCATTTCTGTTAGAGGCTGAGTCAGCCCCAGGGGCATATTGCAGCTGGAAGGATTAGGTCAATTGAAAAAATCCACCTCATCAGGATTTAATCCTGCGACCTTCCGGCTTGTAGCATAGTGCCTCAACCAACAATGCCCCGGATGTGCATTGTACAACAGTGAAATACACATCTCAATCCATATGTCCAGTGTTTTTGCCACCTCTCAGCCACAGAGAAAATTGCTTTCAGTGTAAATATTCTCATTCATAACTTGTACTCTTCTCCAACTATAATTAGAATGATTAAGTCAAGGAGGATGAGGTGGGCAGGTCATGTAGCACGAATGGGGGAGACAAGGAATACATATAGGATATTGGTGGGAAAGCCAGAAGGAAAGAGACCACAGGGAAGACCAAGGTGTAGGTGGATGGAGAATATTAGAATGGATCTTAAGAGAGATAGGATGGGATGGTATGGATTAGATCTGGCTCAGGATAGGGACCAGTGGAGGGCTCTTGTGAACATGGTGATGAACTTTCAGGTTCCATAAAATGCTGGAAAATTCTTGAGTAGCTGCAGAATTGGCGGCTCCTCAAGAAGGGCTCAGCTCCATGAGTAAGTAAGTAAATATTCTCGTATCAATACTCTATGGATACAGGAGTGGTGACACATGCATAACTGCCAGATGAAACTTAGTTTATATGGTGACTGCTACAAACTAGGATATGACATTAGTATTAATACTGACCATTTATATGTAACAGATGTTAATTTTATGACTGCTATTCTTTAAATGTCTACAACTAGTATACTATTAAATACAAGTTTATTTGGTAATATAATGCAATCATAGGTCACACCAAGGAGACCTATAACTGCATGTCATCTAGGACATTCAGTATGTCTGTGGCCAATGCGAAGTGAAGGAGGAAATACTAATAGCAGTTACTAGATGCAAGTATACCAGAACAGCATTTTTTGCCTAAAATGGGCCTTTATTGTGAGATGAGAACAATGGCTGTGACAAAGAATTGTACCAAACAATTTTATTTGAACAAGACATGACATATTATCTTAAAATTTTCCACCAGGAAAAGAGGTTATATTGCATAATGGTAATTGAATATATATATGGTATTTGGTCACTGCTGGATGAGTGAGTATTTAGGAAAGGCTACAGTAAAGGTGTTGATTTTCTAACATAATATGTTTCAATGGAGCAAACTTTGATGATACAGCACTATTTATAAAAGTATTTTAAAATAGCATTTAATTTAAACCACTACACTACATCATTCTTAATTATATTATTGAAGGTTCTGGTACACATGAAAACCAGTATCACACCTTCTATGAAGTGAAGCACCCATTATTTCAATATGCATGCATCAAACAATTATTGTATGACCCTTCTTTGGAATGTGTCCCTATGTAAGAGGAGGGCCAAACATGTAAAACAGTTCTTTTCCAACTTAAGCAATATTAACATATAAATCAACTCACAAGTCAGTCATACTAATTACTGTTTCACTGCCTTGCAATCTTCTCAACAGTGCAATTTCATTGAGGTAACCCTGTGCAATTGAAGGCTCAGCTACAGACAGGTTCACACACTTCACAGCCAGCTCTTGCATAGTGCTGGGATCCAGCACCTGGAAAAGTTAAGTCATCCACATACATTGGGCCAAAACATAAATACTGTTAATCTCATTTAAGTAACACCACTGAAGTACAGTACTGTAAACTCCACATTACCTGTCATGTACTCGTATGTGGAATAGGGAGTGCCAGTTACATGAGAAAACTGTTATATAAACTATATAAACCCTGTACAAAGTCAAATCAGCTCCCTTTATCTTCCTACGTGACACAGAAGAATAGTGGTGAAATATTTCAGATAATGCTCTAACATGATCATAATTTAAACTAGCCTCTACTGTAAGGTAAAGGTAAAAGGTGCAGTTGTCTCTGCGCTTAATTAACTAAGCACTATGCCATGAAGGTGTATGGGGGAGAGGATATATAGATCCACATTTTTTGACCTCAGTACTTGCTGGAGGTGTGGTCAGCTTCATGCCCCAGCCACCTTACCCCCATGGAAAGAGCCCCTGGTACCCATTGGATAAGAGGTTGGGTGGACCCCACAGCTGGTTTTGACTACACAGAGAAGAGAAAATTCTTGACCCTACCAGGACTCGAACTCAGACCCCTTGGTCATCCAGCCTGTAGCTAGTCGCTATAATGACTATGCTATCCCGCTTCCCTAGCCTCTACTGTAATGACATATTATCTCTGAGGGAGAACAGGTAGCACTATTAGTGGCAGCTGGGAGAACTAATGCATGGCAGGTGAACATATTACTCATTGAAAATTTGTTTTTGAGTAATGTTACAAAAATGACACTTCTTTAAAGAAATTTTTGTCAGTTGGATGAGAATTCCAGATAACCAAGAGTTTCCCATACAAAATCCAGGCACATGAATTGCTTTATGGAAAGAGAGGCACATGGCACAGTAATGTTAATAAAATTTGTAAAAGGAAGTACTGATTGTCATAAATGTTGTCACTGAAGACCACGTCATTCCTAACTTTTAATTCTATATCAATAATACCAACACTAAGGTTGTCAAACTTCTGAGAATGAGGTAACACTAGTGGAGTGTCGTGGAATTCTGTAAAAGATCTCTAGAAACTGCAACTTTTGTTAAGGTCCTCTTTCTATAGCATGCAAAATATCTGCTTGGAAACACTACAAATCTATTTTTATTGTTCTGTTTAGGCATGAAAAACTTATGAAAAACTTTGAGGCTCTCACAACAGTAGTTATGAAGAACTGTACGAGTTAACACCATATAGCCCGTTGGAAGTGCAATTAATGCAACTGGATGCTTCAATGCAATATTATGATCCAGACTGTCTCAGGAGAGAAGGGAAGAAATAAGAAGCAAATGGTGACAAAGAAAAGGAGGAATAAGTATGTGATGAAGGACAGGAGAGATCCTGCAATCTCATGGAAGCACTGGACATAATTCTTGCTCTGCAATAATTTTAGATAACCCAAAAGGAAGCGCAAGATCACATACTTGAAAGATGCCATTCATGATTGCCTACAAAAGTCACTGTTAAAGCAGAATGCTAAGAATGCTATTTCTGACTCAAAATCATTGATGACTAAAGTATAAATTGCCATTTTTATGACAATGTCTTATTAAATAAAATAGTTTGTGTAATTACACTAAGAGTATAACTAAAATACAATCAATAAAAGTGCTGCAGGCTTTATACTTTATTTTAGTTTCACTGTTTATTCCAAAAAATTACTTCCAGGTTTGAGGAAAGTACAAATGGAATTTGCACATGAAGTTACACAAACAGTAAAAGAACATGGCAACAGTGCAGATGGGAGAAGGATCCATGTATACATGAAGAGATGGCGATAAAACACTTTTCCAAGGACATCTGACATATGGTGTTAAATCACAGTTGGTGAGACAGTCATGCCTTGCCAGAACTGGATGTATTAAGTTGATTTTATGTCAGCTATTGGCTTCCACAGAAACAATACTGTAATCACGGATCTGCCAGAGGACATTCTGCTTTGTGGTTTATATCATAAGGGCCGTACACTATGATCCGATGTTTTTTCACTTCCTAATATCAGTAATATGCAATCTATCATCTCCATGGTTTTAGTCTGCAAGTGAAGTATACCGACCAAGCAACTGCCACTCGTCAGCGAAGTTTTAGTGCCAATCTATCATCATGTAACCAAATAACAAAATACACTTTTAATGTACAATTATATATTCTAATTGTGATGGCCATGAAGAGTGTTGTAATGCCATGTAATTCAGGGACAGTCTGATGTTCCTCTGAAATGTCTGATTCTCTCCCAACTATTGCATGAAACCCAGATGCCATACTCTTCTGTAAAGTTATTTTCTATCATGTTTCAATATACCAAAATTCCTGCATAAAAAATACAATCATTCTGGAGAAGTTTGCTATTTCACTTTATAAGATATATACTGTATAGCATATACCGTCTACACAACAACAATCAGTACGGTCTCACCGTACCACTACATTATACCAACAGCATCAAGGCAGGGGCAGCCCGCACACATTAAGTACAACCTAATATATATCTCTTACCGCATATTGAGCTTAAGCTCTCTAAGATGTTACCAAGGTCCTGGCTACATGACCCATCCTATTGAGAAGATTCCATTACGTGGGTCCCCCACGCTGTAGTCACTTCTTCCAGCTTAAAACCAGGTGTACACGTAGCTGTTGCAGAGTGTTACCAATAATACACTATTTTAATTTTCATGTCTTAATCTTTGTTCTCTTGTGGTAATGTTTTAATTTCTTATCTTCTGTAATTTTAAATACAATTTTTATCTAAGGGTTTTAGCTTTAAATTTCGCCCAAGATTTGTTACATATATTTATATTTGAATTTAATTTCAAGATACAATAAGGATCCTTATTCGAAGAATAAAATGACAACTGATTGCAACTCAACAGCTCAGACTGGTGCATTGTACACCTGATGATGACCCGTGAAAGGGTCAAAACATGTTGTGTCTAATAAACATAATAAAAGCAAATGTTGACGCAGTAGCGTCTTCTTTGTTTTGAACACTGACTGTTGTGGTATAGACGGTATATCCTATACTTCATATATATCTTATTTTATGACAGACAACAGGGCGCACACTATTAAGATTGTAAATTTCATTTTATGACACTATTTGATTTATGCAAATGTCATACAGCAACAAAATTATGAATTTTATGCCACAAAATAACACAAATTGGAAATTAGTAACAAATATGAGAAAAAGCGGGAAAAAGATATTCAGAATCCAGAATAGACAGTAATTTGAACAAGTCAAATATTAATGCATAAACTTGAATTACTTGTAAGATTTGATTAGGAATTAATTGTTACAAATTATGATAAGTAACATATATTACAAAAATATTTAAAATAAATAAATTTAAACTCATATTTCATGACGTTCCATAATATAATTTCAACTTACTTTAAATACTTGACTGGAGCCCCCTCGTCCAAGGAGTTTTTGCACTCTATAACCTTTTCCGTTTACAGTTATATAGTTATCCTGCTTTTCAACAAGTTTAAGAGGTACATTCTGATCTTGTTTGTATACTAGATGTAAACTGGCATCAGGCTGCATTTTTAAATCTCCTTGTGCAGCAGCAGTTCTTTCTACTGTACTGGGCCCCAGAGTCGGCATCAGGGATGGATCTCTTATATTCTCAGCCAAACATTCTTTCACAGCTTCTGAATGTAGCTTATTTAAGGAGCCTGGCTGGCTGTGGACTTTATCTATTTGATGCGCTTGTTTTCCTGGGATTACATCATCAAATGAAGGGGTAGATTCCTTCACATTTACCTTATGAAACAATGCACATCCATCAACCACTGGTTCATGTATTTGTTTCTCGGTTATAATGTTTTTCCGTACAGATGAACGAAAATCATTTTCTTTATTGATATCTAATTCAGCAGACTTTAATTTTGAAATTTTATCATTCACTTGAATATTTCTTCTCACATGTTGTATATTATCCACTGGAGGGATTGTGTCTACCATATTTAAGTTACCAGATAGCATACAAGGTGTCACTTTTTCATCCAACTGTTTCTCCATTGCAACACCTTTCCTTGCCAATACTTGAAAATCTCTTTCTTTACTTGTTTGCAACAAATTGGAGTTATTGCATGATGGACCGTGTTTTGCATTAGTTATATTATATGCAGCTGATTCTGATGAAAACAAACCTACATCATTTTCTTTGTTGCTAACATCTATTTGTTTAACATTTTCTTCGCTTGCTTGCATATTTTTTGGAGTTCCCCTTACATCTATGGATTTTATCTTTGAATTTAAAGTGTCCTTATGGTTTATTATATTCCTTAGCACACCTCCTTTGTGTGTCTGCAGACTACTACACATTAAGGGTGGTCCCATGTAAAATTTCTCATCCTCTTTCTTCACACATGATGCTGTGGAGACAGAAACTTTCCCATGATGTGGCTCCATTGCCTTTGCCTTCTGACCCAAAAGTGTACCTATATTTTTGCTTGAATTATTATTTTTAACAATCCTTTCTTGCTGTTGGTTAATTAAAAGAGATCCAGCAGGTAGATGTTCACTATGTGAAGAACTTTTACTTTCAGAAATAAAATTCTTTTCTGGATTATTAACATATTTACTTGCTTCATACACTTCACTGATTTGGTCTACTGCTAGAGATTCTGGGACTACATTTTCAAGTTCTTCAGGCCTCACTTCATGACACTTCAGGTCTTGGCTAGAAACCTGTGTTTCTTGCATACATATTGAGTTGCTAGTCAGCTCTAAACAAGCTTGTGATCCAGTATTAGAATGGAGCTGGCCTCCCAAATTTTCAATAACTTCTTTGTCTGAATACTGGGGAAAGCTATTCATCCTAAGTGTTGCTCCACCACCATCACTAGGCAGTGACATCAACGATATGTCACTGCCAAAATCTTCATGGGCATTATCAGATTTTTCATCTTCTGCCATGGCCTTTAAAGCTGTCAGTAATGGTAATATGGGAACAGGCTGGGATGTTCGTCGTGTTTTCCCCAATAACCTGCAACATTTAAAAAAATGATACTGTGCTTATGCTAACTACCATATTTACTTATGTATAGGCCGCACATTTTTTGCCAAAAATTCAAGAGGAAAACTGGGGTGCGGCTTATATTCGAAATATTCGAAAACACACGTCATTTAAAAAAAATTATATTCATAATTATTTCGAAATAATTTCTACTCCTGAAATAATATTCCAAGAAAATTATTTTTTCTATAATTTCTGTCTGAAAATTGTGCTGCGGCCTATACATGCATAAATACGGTAATTTAAATATTGGTCAACTCAATAGTCACTGTCACAGCTCTCCATCTCTGTGTGCAGAAACCTCCACTCACAGTTCAGTGATCAGAGTGACAACAATTCTTAGCATCTGATCCAGCCGCCAGCACTGTCAAAATCTAATGCTCAAATGCAATTATAAAAATATTAGCTTCCTTAACGAGTCAACTATTTTCAGCCTTTTTTGGTAGTTATACATTTCTATATACTCGTAAATACACATTCTGAGCAAAAGAAGTAACCAAAATTAAAAATAAGACTGAAAGTATTACACAACCATAATAGATTAACAGTGCACCATGTACACAAGTACTTAAAAGAGAAAGATGAAAATAAGGAGAATGAAGGTCTTATAAAAATTAAGCAGAATAAGTTACAAAGAGTTTGGAGTAAGCAGTAGCAAAATAACTGCAAACAAATATGAAAGAAACAGCAAAAGAGGAAAACAATTCTCCACAACCTGCAAAAAGTGTTAGAAGAAGAAAGAGAAAACAGGCATTGGCAACTTTCATACATGCACTGTAGAAATAATTCAAGGGTTCCATGCAATTGATGGCCAGCATCAAATTCATACATTATTTTGTATGGTACATAATAAAATTGTTAATATTCAAACACATGCCTCAAACAGGTCACTGTATGAATTACATTCCTGTTCTCCTCAATGCTACAGCCTGATTTTTGCCTTGGCTTCTTGTGCTATAAAGATTACTAAATCTTGTACAGATATGTTGGTGGATACTTTGAATGGTATACAGAATCTACCATCATGTGACAACACAGAAAATAAGGATGGGTGGAATTTGAATCTACAACCAAGAACTGAAGCAGACCAAAACTGCATGGCCAACAGAACGGGCATGTTTTACTTTACAAATACCAATTCATTCTTTCACAATTTTTTACCATGATTCTCGATCACCTGTGAGACTGACATGCCTGGATATGTTAGATGGATTCACTATTTCTAATATCAAGCAAAATATGAACTCTGTGAGAGATTATGAGTCATATGGGCTACAATATTAAATTGTTAATATTCAAAATTAACTTGACTTGTCCTATATCATGTACAATGATCTACAGTGACGAAATAAATCAATCAATCAATCAATCAATCAATCAATGATGTCTTGAGAATACTAAAATTAACCATTCCCCACAGATTATGCACAAAGTACACAGGAACTGGCATGGAGGAGGATGGATCCTCCTACCTGCCTATGTAGAAAAATCTGTCGAAGATTTACAATGAGACTGTATCCTAAAGCAAACTCATGTAACATACTTACTTGAGAATTTTCAACTCCAATTTCCCACAAAAAAAAATAATTACTTCTAATTGGAAAACTAATAACTGGTTAACGCCTGGCATAAGAATTTCTTGTCAACGTAAGCGGGAACTTTGCCTGCTTTACAGGAACAATAATGACTCAAATTTTAAAAGATATTATAAATTATATTGTAAAATATTATCCAAGGTTATCAACGCGGCTAAAAGACTTTACTATGGTCAGATAGTAAATTCAAATAACAAAATTAAAACTACATGGAGTATTGTTAAATCTGAAACAAACAAGAATGTCGGGAACAAATCAATTCAACCAGTATGTATAAATGGTGTTCCTACTGAGAGTAAACGAGAAATTGTGGATACCTTTCAAAGTCACTTCCTATCAGTAGCTGATGGAATAGCTTCTAACTTCAAAAAGGAAGGGATAAGTGATACGAACTGCATGGATTACCTATATAACACTTTCAAGAATCCATACCCAAATATAATATTCGATCGTACAACGACTAAAGAAATTGAAAGTATAATTAAGTCACTTAAGCCTAAAAATTCTTACGGATATGACGAAATCTCAGTAAAAATTCTAAAAATATGCTCTCCTTTCATCGCAACCCCCTTGAATTATATTTGTAATAGGGCTATATTATCTGGCACTTTTCCGTCATGTTTAAAATATTCTGTTATTAAACCTTTATTCAAAAAAGGTGGTAAAAAAGATATAAAAAATTATAGACCCATATCCTTGTTGACCTCCCTGTCTAAAGTATTTGAAAAAATGATATACATAAGACTTACCAATCATATAAAAATAATAATATACTATCTGTTGAGCAGTATGGATTTAGAAGTAAAGTCTTCAACAGAAAACCCTTCATTTAAATTGCTAAATGATGTTCTCCAGGCCTTGAACAATAAGTCAAATGTAGGAGGTTTATTTTGTGACCTTGAGAAGGCCTTTGATTGTGTCGATCATAACTTATTAATGGAAAAACTTATGGAATTGTAGATAATGCACATGCCTTAATTCAATCATATCTCAATGATAGATACCAAAGAGTCTGCATTGATGATGATGATCAAACATGTTCTCATACTTTTTCAGATTGGGGTAGGGCTAAGCGTGGTGTACCTCAAGGTTCCATCCTTGGCCCAATCCTTTTTCTTTTTTACATAAATGATTTACCCAAAGTTGTAAATAATACTTCTAAGCCAGTTTTATTTGCCGATGATACTAGTATCATCGTCAGTAATCCCAATATAGTAAACTTTACAAACGATCTCACTCTTGTATTTGAACAATTGAACATATGGTTTAACTCTAACTTATTATCATTAAATTATAATAAAACACAATATGTGCAATTTCGAACCATCAATGCATTAACAACTCCTATAGATATTAGCTATAAAAATAAACATATTCGTAACGTTACAAACACTCGGTTTTTAGGTATCACTCTTGACAATTCCTTGTCATGGAAGGACCACATAGATGGACTTAGGGCTAAATTGTGCAAGGCATGCTACGCTATTAGATTCCTAAGACCCTTTGTATCTCAAGAATCTTTGAGAATGATTTACTTCTCGTATTTCCATGCAGTTATGTCATATGGTATAATTTTTGGGGGAATTTCTCACATAGTAGCAATGTATTTAAACTACAAAAGAGGGTTATAAGAATTATTACGAATTCTGGAAATAGGGACTCCTGCAGGGACCTGTTCAGAAAACTAGAAATATTGCCGTTCTATTGTCAGTATATTTTTTCATTATTAAAATTTGTAATTGATAATGCTTCTCTATTCAAAACAAACTCTGAGATTTATGATCTTAATACTAGAAATAAAAATAATTTTCACCTTTCACTACCAAGGTTGGCAATCTATAAAAATGGTGTTTATTATATGGGTATTAAAGCATTTAATCATCTACCTCCCTACATAAAGGAATTATCAGAGGATAGGCTCCAATTTAAAAATGTCCTAAAAATTATCTTTTATTGAATTCCTTTTATTCATTGAAGGAGTTCTTTGATGGTGAAATTTAGTGTCAAGGATGACATTGACGCTTTCACCCTATGGGTACGTAAAGGTTTTTAATCATATATATATATTTTACAATTAAAGTATATTTGAATTGTTTCTGCTTATTAGTATGTTTTGTGATTAGCAGATGGTGTTAGGGACCTATAATGGACTGCTAGTATTTGTTTGGTAGCAAGTATTTCTTGCCTTAATAGGTTCTACATTTGGTTTGCAGATGGATCTATGGAATTGGTATTTTACCTGATATATAGAATGAATTAGATGAATATAATTTTATGTTTTGATGAAATATTACTATAAATTTTATATTATATAATGAATTTTTATAACTTTGACTCATGCCTTAGCATACAGCTTGTTTATATTGTATCTGGTTTACTGTTATCAATTGTTGTATTGGAATATTGTCTTATCTCACATAATTTTGTCAATTTTATTAATGAAGTGAACCAGAATTAGAATTTTGATATTTATTGTATCCGATGTAAATTTGTTTATGTATGTCCGCTTTATGCTTTATAATTGTTTGCATGTATGTTTGTTTTGTTTTTTGTTTTTGACATGTTTCAATTAATTATTGTAACTTAAATTTTGATCTTGTGACTCATTCTATATCCTATGGCTTGTATTATGCCTGTATCAGGATCAATTAGAAAGTGAAATAAATGAATGAATACCTAACCAATCAGTAAAGTTTCGCTTTCTTTATGGTCATTAAATCTACTAAAAATCCTTCCAACATCCTCATCCCTAACCTGGCCTATTTTGTACCTGTGAGAAGTTTCAGGGAAAAACATGTAGGAGAGAGAGAGGATTGGAAGTAATATCAAAGATGAACAAGAGAAAAGAAAATGATCATCCACAGTAACATTCAAAGCAAAACTTTAAATGATTAACGGCAGAAGAAAATCGATTCAGTTAAAGTGGGCAGAATGTCAGAATTAAAGAAGTATAAATTTTATATGCTACAGACTTTAAATATACCTACGTGTCAACATTTCGCCGAATTCTGCTCCATGCCAGACGTATGAACTCGCATTTCTACAATACGCAAATCGTTTCATAACAGTGCATGAAAAGCATAAAAAACTAATTTCGTTTTAATCCTGCAATGCTGGGCATAATCTGTTGCTCTTTTGGCGTATTGCTACCTCATCCCATTGGACACTGCTCTATATTCTTAAAACACAGTTCAATTAAAAATTTACTTACGGCACTCTCTTTTTCTTGCTCTTTGAATTGGCTCCAGGAAAAGATAATGATTCTGAATGACTCGAATTTCCATCGCACCCACTGAAGAGGCCACTATGACCATACTGACCATACATAATAGAGATTTCTCAAAACTGTATGTCTGCATGAAAATGTCAACACTTTGCGCCTAGCTAACACTGTCATACAAGGCGATGTAGTATGTTCACCCTCACCAGTAAACACGCTTCAATTGTTGCTAAACAAAATAACTAGTACAAAGTCATAAGAAGAGACAATAAGGGCCACTTCTCATAAACACTGTTAGTAAATACACCACATAACATTTTATACTAACGGTAATAATCACTTTGAATTTGACTCTATCCTGATTGGTGAGATGATTCATTCCGGTTCCGGCTTCCCAAAGGGTACCCAACAGAGTTTACCAACGTATCAATCGGGCTGATAGCTACCCACAACAAGTTCTCAATTCACTATTATTCAGTCACAGATTAACTAGGCTGAGCGTCGTAACCATTGTAGCTAAGTATCCTACCGAACAGTTTTCATCGCAAGGCAATGGTGCTGTGACCCATGTCATAAGCTTGTACTGAGTGAATACGAGGCCACGGATCCTGCTAGCTCTGTGAAACAGGCGACTGATAACAAGCATAACAACCTAGGTTAACGACGGGCGGAGCGTCTGACACAGTCCGACAGGACACGTGGTGGTAATCACTGGTAATGAACGGATTGGTTTGGAATAATAGAGTTACACTAATTAGAAAGGATTGCTATTCTGTACATGATAGTTCACGAAGCAGAGAGGTTTCTTCGTCATTAGGAAGTGACTGAGATGTTCACTGTTTTCAGATATGTGACACCGCGTAGTATGGTATTTACTAACGTTTCGGAGGAACCAGCTGCCCATCTTTAATTACATTTAAAGGCTCTGATAATACTGGGGCTTCATCCCTTATGGCCAAAGTCGGTGGAATTAATTTTTATCCCTCCTAAACCTTTGTAATGCAGTACTACTGCACTACTGTTATATATTTTGGAATATATATGTATATAATATAATTTGGAATGCATTAAGTAATGAATTGTTAGTAATTTCATGAGGTCATGAGAGTCTAGGATTCACATTATACTGACAACAAATAGAAATCTCATAATTTGAATTTGTTAGTTCTCGTAACAGTTATAGTCTGAACTCTTGTTATCAAAATAAGTTTTAAATGCAGTCAGAAAAAGTGCCTCAAATTTGCAATCTGGAGAGAGGGGGGGGGGAAAGGAGTCTGAACATTTCTAATACAATGAAGTCTTACCACAGCATTCTACACTGTTATAAACAAAACAGCCATTGTGATGATGATAATCTGGAATGTAAGTTATGTGGCATAGGTGTGCAAAGACTGCAGATCCCTTGGGTCCCTTATTGCCTTCAGGAAGCCCGACTTTAAGTTGATGTATTGGAGGTCCATATTTTAAAATATACATACAAACTGTAACTAAATTCGATATGACCTTCAGAACATCAGATTGAGTGAAAAGTATGTTATAAATGTACACCTGGGAGTGTTTCTGTAAAATGTTATAGAAGAGCAAATTGGATTATTTTTCAACTTTTTAGAAACATGGCACTGTATTTTGACTGAACCAGTCTTCACAGAAAATAAATTGCTGACATTTACTATTTATGTTAATATGTGGGAACTATTCATTTGCCAGCCCCATTACATCTCACCTGTGACAGTACTAGAAATAGCTGGCTGACCCTTCTGATAATTAGGATCAACTATTGCACATATGCCAGTCATGGTAGCCGAGCGACATAAGGCATGTACTGTCTTCACTTGCTTGGAAACTGGGATCTTGGGTTCGAATCCCACTCAGGGCATGGATGTGTAGTTTGTGTGTGTGCGTTTTTCTGTGTTTGTGTACAGGTAGAGGCCTAGCGACGAGCTGATCACCCACCCAAGGAGTCCTACCGAATGTGTAAGATCTAGAAAACTGAAGTGAACGGAGAAGTTCATGGAGGTAGGTCTAGGCCCACTGGGGCTGTAGTGCCAAGGAAAAAAAAATGCACATATATTTCAGCATTCTGTGACTACACTGATGAAAATCAAGCCAGCAGGTTAATTAATTAGGTTCTAACACAGATTTTATTCCAGTATTAAATGTGGTAATATTCATAATGAAACACATGCAAGACAAGAACAGAAGTAGAGGAAGTATTCTTCTATAACACAAAGTTTCAACATTATGTTCTCATTAATCAATTATTTTTATTACAAATATTTAAAATTGAATACAGCGTGAGACAATAAATTACATAGAACAGGGGATTCAAGCATGAAGGAAACATAGCAGCACCATAAATGTAGATGTTTTGCCTGTGATCATCTGTAACTTGCCGATATGATGCTGAGTCATTTGCACGTTCAAAAAACATACTGTGATTAGTTAAGCAGTCATTAAAGGTTCTGCTTTGTCAGATAACTGTATGCTGCAAAATGTGCATAATGGAGGCATGGCTCAAACAGAAAAATCATTCTGCTAAAGGTGTTTTCCCAGCTGCTGTTCATAACTGACGAGGCTGTACCTTGGTGGTAACATAGACACACAAATTGCATGAATACGGAAGGAAGAATACTGTCATGCTATTCAACAAGTGTCATTACATAGTATAGAAATATTAGTGTTATGTGCTGCAAATGTGCAAGTGTGTGGCTAATTACTGGCCTGATACTTTTTCAGAAACTGAATTCAGATCACTGCATGAGTGATGTATTGAATTCCTTCAGAAAATTTACAGCTGAAGAGTATGGTTCTTTCCAGTATGGTATGGTGTTTGAGAACAGAATAATCAACAGAGGGCTCTGCCCTTTTAGATTTCCTGATGGTAGTTACTGTGATTTTATCTCTAAAGGAAGGACTGTGCAAAAATAATCCTTGCACCAAGAAAGCTGTCCAGAACAAAAGAGAATGTTTAATTAATTGCTTCAGTTCCCAAGGATGAATGTGTCACAAATTTTGTCTGCGTGCTGTGAAGCAGTCTTGAAGGCAGAAGGAGGGTCACTTCTAGAAGTTCTTATAAAATATGTTGAGTTTGTTTTGCCTTTTTACAGTAGTCACTGATGATGATCTGTTGAAGTAGTGAATGATGTGAGAGTTAGCACTGCATAGAAGGAAAACCCCTGTTATTGCCTCTATATCATGCAGTAAACTACCACCACAATGTCACAAGCAAAACATCTGTTGTAATATGAAATATGCATAATAAATTAGAAGTAACTACCATTTTCAGTCAGTGATCTTACATACAATAAAAACATTTGATTTGTTTCATTCTGGTCCGTCACACTAACAAATTACAAAGACAAAACAACTCCGTCCAGTGTGACTATTGGAGTTCTTACTGCTTAAAACTGAATGCCCTTACATGTTTCAGTCCTTATAGACCATCATCAGAGGGAACATCGATACTTTTTCANGAGACAGGCAGCACAAGTTCAGCCCCCATCAAGAAAGACGATAGGAGAAAGGACACGAATCTACTTGGTTTATAAATTTTAACTTAAATAACAAAGTTTTAAAAAACTTTAATATACCAAGAAAGCTGCTGTCATTGTGGAAAAGTTGGATTCTGTATATAATGTGCATTACAAACATTTTTATATATGTATTTTAACACACAAAACACCCATTGTGACATTAGTTTCCAAAAAAGTGTCGATGTTCCCTCTGATGATGGTCTATAAGGACCGAAACATGTAAGGGCATTCAGTTTTGAAGTAGTAAAAACGCCAATAGTCACACTGGACAGAGTTGTTTTGTCTTAGTAAAAACATTCCTCTGTATAATATATGGCTTGATATAACATTAGCTAAAATTCTGTTTTATTTCCTGGCAGTAGGCAGCAGTATATACTATTTTATACACAGGTTCACTTGTAAGATATTTATAAAACTACCAAATTTATGCTACATATTCATATCATTATTCTAAAAAAACAAACTAGCAAGTCCAACATTTGTAATTGGCAGGTTCAGTATCTGCACTTATGATGAGCATGAATACTGACTAGTAACAAATATTTTATCACAGTCTTTGAAAATGACCAGAATAGATATTTTTGAGATGCTCAATCAGGAAAAAAGACCACAGTTGTTACATATATTTATTTCTTGTAATTGTCCATGTACACTTTATCACAACACTATTTTTATAATTTCACTTACAGAATCATTTTGGCTTGATCAGCCAACTTCATGCATGTCACGGAATATTTCATATTCTATAGGCAGCACTTGAGGTGGAGAAGAAGCGGTGGTGGGATGGTTTTAGGAAGGCTGTAGACATACCTTTGTAAGGAATATGGAGCGTTAAACAGTCAGAGGTGAAAGAAGTGGGATGGCTTTTAAATTTGTAAAAGGAAGTGGGGTCATATCCCTCTGCATCCCCCCCCCCTCAAGCACTATCAAAGTTATGCATATACCTTCACTTTAACCTCACCTGTAAATGGCAGTAGGCACCTGATATTAGTTGACTTTTTTAGGTCTTCTCCGTTTGAAGGCTGTTGCCTGCCTCAACAGTTCAGCATTTTCCTCTTCAGCAACTATAGGAACATCTATCAATCTCTTGGGTAAGACGATCAATCCTATCAGTGTCAAGGCTGCATATAGAGTAAGCAATTTCAGATCACTAAAATCCTGCAGCATACCTGTTGCTATAACAGTGACCATAAGAGCCTCACTTATTTTGAGACAAGACAGAAGTAGCAATATGAAATGTACAAGTACCCATTTATAACCTTGTCTTTCTCCATCTTAAAATAGCCTATAAGTTACTACTTAACCACTTTTTCTGTATTTTATTTTGATCATCTGACACATAGTAAAAACTACTTTCATTCCTCAGATCAGTATTTTTGTAACTGTTAAATTGGTAAGACTGCTATACTGTATTAACTCATCTACTCCTTCGGTAGTACTCCCAGAACTTTCTGTTTCTCTCTGTGGTACTACTTGGTATATACTGGAAAACTTTTGAGCTTAGTGCTGCACAGTGTTAGTCATAGCTTGCAGTTTTACTGGGCTGTATGACAGTTCTTCCATACACTTCTCGTGTTTTTCAGAAGATGGCAGTATCATATGGGATCATTACAGTTTTGTGTATATGTTAGGGAACACAAACTGAAGGGGTTAACACACCAAATCCTTCTAGTACATCACAAAAATCCTTCCTCCATGGTAACACTAAATGAACTTATATGCACAAGTATAGCTCATATTAAAAAAAATAGTACCTAATTTCATCCTGCAGGTCAACTGGTCAAAATAAAAGACCATACAGATTGTATAATGTTCTCTGTGCTCTCAAGATGCACCAATTATGAACAATGAAACAAACAATGGAAAAGATAATTTGAAAATGTAGTCTTCTTAAAAAATTAAGCATCTGATAACCTTGCCTAATTTGATTACTTTGAATACCATAATTGGACGATCACTTTCCTCTATTACTCTGCTCTTGAATGCCAAGGATGCAGATGCAGCACAATCCTATTAATTATAATATCTAAGAAAAAGAAGAATAAATGGTTTTATGCATTCTTATAGCTTGCTGAGCCCTTCTTGAGAAGCCGCCAATTGTGCAGCCACTCAAGAATTTCCCAGCATTTTATGGAACCTGAAGGTTCATTATCGTGTTCACAAGAACCCTCCACTGGTCCCTATCCTGAGCCAGATCAATTCAATCCATACCATTTTATCTCTCTAAGATTCATTTTAATATTGTCCACCCACCTATGCTTTGGTCTTCCCAGTGGTCTCTTTCCTTCTGGTTTTTCCACCAATATCCTATATGCATTTCTATTCTCCCCCATTCATGCTACATGCCCTTCCCACTTTATCCTCCCTGACTTGATCATTCTAATTATACTTGGAGAAGAGTAAAAGTTATAAAGCTCCTCATTATGCAGTTTTCTCCAACCTCCTGTCACTTCGGTCCAAATATTCTCAACACCCTCAGTCTATGTTCCTCCCTTAATGTCAGAGACCAAGTTTCACACTCATATGGAACCATAGACAAAATTATAGTTTTGTATATTCTAATTCTTATGTTTTTGGACAGCAGCCAAGAAGACAAAAGGTTCTGGACTGAATGGTAGCAAGCATTACCCAAGTTCAGTCTCCTCTTAATTTCCTCCTCAATCAGGTTTTGATTTGTCATGGTCATTACCAAATATGTGAACTGGGCTGCGGTTATAGCTATCCTTAATAAATCCTGCAGCAGCATAAACAACAGACAGATCAACTACTCAGCTGTGACAGTTTATCAGAAACTGTAAGGAGAGTTGATTAAGGAGTTCTGACTGCTGTGTCCACTTTTGAGGACTGTTACTAGCCATTAAAGACCATGAAACTGATGTCAGTTGCATATGGCTACATGGAAAAATGGTAAATAGCCAAAAATAAGAGGGACTAAATTCCTTGTCTTCATGTGTACATAATCCCACCTGTCATTAATCGATACTGTGTACAGAGCACAAGAAGTGTTGCTTCATACTCTTACTGCACATACTCACCATTCAGTACACATGGGAAGATCACGTAGAAAGACAGTGTTGTGGAGCAGAAATATAACACCTCAGAGCAGTACATTAGAATTGTTACAACAAGGGAACAGATTCCCAAGCTGATCACTCTGCAACAATTGAAATCTGCATGAATTGTGGAATTACAATAAAATTATATTATAAGGATTCATTTTACAGTCCATTCGTGGAGACGAGAGAGTCCTCGTAAACAAATGCACGCGGTATCTCCTTCGTTCTTTGAATGAAATCATGCAGCGATCATGTGATGCATGTACAATTGCAGGGGCATCCAAAGTTCAGTCTGAATGCAGGTTAACGTGCGTCCGAATGCAGTGAGTACACTGAAGTAACTGCGCGCTTTGTCCACTCCTTGCTGTCAGCTGTAGCGACATGGGGCTTCCTTTGTTTATGCTAACTGTCTCGTCTCTGCGAATGGACCATAGGTCTGTAACTTAAATTCCCTTAGCCTTAATATGACCAGGCAAACTGTTATATTATGTCCATATTTTCTTATATTTACTGCCAGTAATGTAGGCTATATTTTTCTGCACCAGATTTGTGAACTGGTACTTTATTTCCTATATATATTCGTAACTCATGTAGCAGCCACATAATAATAAATAATAGTGATAATATGTAGATTGATTACTAGGTATGTGAGCATTGATATACCATGTTCTGCCTACCGTGATGAACCAGCAATGGTGAGATGTGACGATTTTCATGTGTGACGCAGTCTTTTGCTGTGGTAATTTCCTTTGTATAGGACATGAGTACATTTACATTGCATCAGGAATGTTTATATGAAGCTACAAAAAGTCACGAGGAAATTCAGAAGAAAGTTTCCTGGAGCGTGAGTTCAGAAACGTTATTCAGAATATTGTCAGTAAGTAGGAAATGGCATGTTAAAAAACAGGAAATCAGGACTTCAGTATAAATATTAACATAAAAAAAGTTAGATGAAACTGGATCCCAGCATTAATGTTTTCTCTTAAATGCATTGCTCACAAAACATAAGTATTGTGACATGTTGACCCCCTACCCCCCCAGCTGCACGTAGCGGTAACGTAGCGCTCGCGTAATAGGCGAGTAATCACCCCGCATCCTGGTAGCTATGCCCATGGGAACCACTACATAGTTATGAAACTATAGCCTTATAAAGTAGTTTACTTAATTTTTGGGCATGTTAACATATAAAATCAGAGACAAAGAAATGCAAGAAATCTACACTTTACACACAGTATTCCATTCCACAATGAAAGTTGGTGTTTAAAGAACCCTGAGTGTGGGGAGGATAACTGGCTCTGTGTTTTATACAGAAACAGTTCTGATGGGCAAATACTGCAGCTACTTATCATGAATTCAACAGACAAAAGTAGAATCCTATGGCGTTTCTAACAGGATTCTACAACTGCTCATTAATCCAGATATTAACAGTGTCTGACTGGGTTATAACTTGTGGTTTATGGCCACCTTATTCTCCTGAAATTACTCCATGTGGTTTCTTCTTGTGGGATATTTAAAAGATGAAGTTTATCGAACCAGTCCACACACAGAACTCAGAGAAAACACACAGTAAGAAGTGTCCTATATATCCAGAGAATGATTACAGCATGTGATCCAGAATCTGTGTAAGTGTGGAGATTGTATCTGAGTCCATGTGGAACATTTTCAGCATGTCCTGTAACACTGGTATGCCAGCTTCACTGTATGAGACTGCTGCACTTTTACTATGACAGAAACTGTCTGGGCAGGGAATGTGGCAATTGATGCAGTATTCATGCATCAGCTCAACCTGCAAATAATTTCCCAGTTCTTGTTATGCTAAAGTGTATTAAATGCTATGTCTGTGGTTTTGGCAGTCTTTTGCACTGTGTTGGATTCTGTGCCATTCTTAATGGAGTATATGCTAAGCACATTCTGGGTTCCTCAATGTTGGATCAGACAGGAAGCAGTAGCACAACACAGGGCAAATGATAAACAGTGACTAGCTCCAGGACAGGGATAAACCATATTAATTGTGGTTAAAACATTGTTATTGTTTATATTGCATGCAGTAAACAATACTCACGGTTTATAATGTATATATAATGTGCAATGAATTAAGGCAACAGCTTTCAAAATTGAATAAACTCCTAATATTCTTGGCAGTGTAGGATCCTCTGGAACAAAAATTCTCTATTAAGATATTGATAAACCTATAACACGTATGCTTACATATGTCAGCCTCCACAGGAATAACATTTTATGCACACATCCAATGGAACAGGGACAATGACTTATAATATTATGATACTGACAGATTCCATACTATGGTGACACCTCAAAGAAGTGTTGTGAGTATGTTTGCTCAACTATCCATCTTCCATCCATGTTCATTCCATCAAATTCTCCACAAATAAGAATATCTAACTAATTCTAAATTGTAATCAGCAGTAAAAAATTGTAACTATTTAATCTACTTATATATCAAATTGTTAATATTCAGAATTAACTTGACTTGTCATATATCATGTAAAATGATCTACAGTGACGAAATAAATCAATCAATCAATCAATCAATCTACAAACAGGTGTCTTAAATTAGGGAACAAAATGACAAAATTTAATTCTATGAAGGTATAGGAAAATTAAGTTTCCATAGTCAGATGTATGATAGTGACTGGTCAGCCCAAACAACACATGAACAGAGTCCTAAATATTGGTGGAATGACCAGCTGGTAAGGAGAACACTAAGAAAACCTGCCACATTCACATTTTATTCAAAACAAAGCCAAGACAGTTTGCACTGTGAAATAACCTGCTACAAAGCCAATATGTAAGTTGCACCACAGTCAGCATAGAAACTAGAATGATAAAAGTTTCTTGTACAGTCTGTAAAGCTGATCACACATGGGATAGTTTTCAATTTCTGTCCATATCTGCCAAAAAAATCCATTGGTGTTTTTCAATACTTGGGCGGTAAATGGGCAAATTAAATTCCAGTTCTTAGAATTTTACAAAGTCATTTACCATACTGAAGTCCAATAGTTTTCTTATATGAATGCTCGCCAAGAAATGAACGTTTTTCTATATAACACCGGGCAGCTGTCCCCATGTCCATGAAAGCAACAAACGCAATCCAACCTCGAAAAGCATATAACAATTTCTGGTCCATTTTGACTGTACAGTAAACTTTTCGATACTTAATCAACTCCCATGTAATTTAAACTCAATTTTGTATTTCAGTTATTTATATTAAATGCACGTGTAAAAGTTGTTCGACTCATATGGTGTACTACTCTCTGGGATAATTTAATGGACTGATATCAAATTTCCTACGAACGTCTGTAAGGTCTGTAATCTTCAGTACTTAACGTCACATAATTTACCGCAACCACAGATGTTTTACCATGTATCTGTTCGTAGACCAAAGACTACTAACGCTGAGTGGTGAATAGTCAGGGTTGTCGAGGTAGATCAAACCATAGTGCACATATTATATTTCTTGTCGTGCAACAGCTATGTTATTGTAAATGAAACAGGTCATTGAAGGTCGCAGTGCAAAGGACGGGATCTTGTGGCTCATCCTTACACACACATATACATATTGTAATGGAAATGTCCGTAATTATGGGTTTCGAATTATAAATTCTGATTTCTCGAAACTGAGTTTTGTGAACATGTGCTCAAACGTTCAAATTTACTATCACTTTTCTGAACGCATGCGAGATTGGGCCCTGTTCGCAAAAAAAAAAAATATCTGTTAAATCAACAGAAAGAAATAATGGATTTACCATACTTACGTAAGATAAATGCCGATGCAGTAATATTTTAGAAAATAACACATGTCATAAGTTTCTGCAGACTTGATCATCTTTATGTGTACTGTGAATTTGTTTCTATATAGTTTTACATTTTGTGAAAGGTATGGGGGTAACCGGTCACACTTCGGAAGAGCCAATATTATGATGTCATTGTACAATGTCAATGACGTAATACAACGGAAGGGTGTGCGCTTGCGTACAGTAGTGTGGTGTGGTGTTCTATCGATTTGTGCTGTTACGTTTGTAACGTTTGAAACGTTTGAAAAATAAACAGAAGGTAATTAAATATATTTAAAATGTCATGATGAAATCTCGTTCTCATTAACAAAGCTCAACCGTAATTATAGATTGCCTTATGGTAAAATTACATTAAGGTCGACACTATAATCCGAAGCCACACCCAAGTCGCTTTTTAAACTTTTTGAAGAAAATTTGCATTATTATTTCATAATAATGGTGCGGTATTTTGGAGCGTGTGTGTTTTGTTTGAAAAGCTTGCAATGCTAAGGGAAACATACGCTATGGCGAGTTATAGGTCTGTCACATGCAGTAAATGAGGGGGATTAAATTCATTCATTCTTTTATTAATCCTATTAATGAATTAGCCCATAGTAAATAAATGTATTTTTTTACATTAGACTAAATCTCCAGAAGAAACTCTGCGAATGTGGATTCCACGCACTGAATATAGAAATTATTAACTGATTACAGGGCTTCCAAGTGTGAAAACCTTAATATTATTGACTGCAAGTACAGCAATGCAGTACTTTTATCTGCACCACACCCCTCCACTTTTCACAAGGTCAAGAGAGAAATGGGTACACATACTGTTTAGTGGACACATTTTCATTTTATAGTGAAGAAGTGACTGTACAGAAGTTTGTGGTATACATAGGAAGAATTAGTAATTATTGTTAAACAACAGGTAATGGCATAAATAGAAATGTTTCTTAAAGAGGTACCAAACTTTTTAAAAATTATTTCAACTCTTGTGACAAAACCAAACTTTAGGAGAAGTAGAGTTAAGTTCATGATTTGTTTATTCCGTCTTGCAGTGCATACACTTATCTATCTTCTTCTCTCACTTTCACTACATGTTTCGGCATAAGAATGCCATCTTCAGGTGCTACTCAATTCACGTCAAACTAGCACATTGTATGCCTTGTATGCACTGCAAGACGGAATAAACAAATCATGAACTTAAATCAGTGCAACAGGACGCTAAAATATAACAAAGTAGAGTTAGTTTGAATGGGAAAATTGTGTAACTTCATGCGATTTGTTTAGCTTAATTGACCCTTTCCCAATTTCATCCACATAATTATGCCAAAATTGATGCTTAATAAGATTTTTTTTTTCTTGGCACTACAGCCCCAGTGGGCCTAGGCATACCGCCATTAACTTCTCCGTTCACTTCGGTTTTTCTAGATCTTACACATTCGGTAGGACTCCTTGGGCGGGTGATCAGCTCGTCGCAAGGCTTCTACATGTACACAAACACAGAAAAACGCACACAAACATTCATGCCCCGAGTGGGGTTCAAACCTACAATCCCAGCTTCCGAGTGAGCGAAGACAGTGCACGCCTTAGACCGATCGGCTACCGTGACCGGCTGCTTAATAAGATTTAGATTAGGCTAACTTAATCACATTACTTGTATTAAAGAATGAAGAATTGGCAGAATTATTTTCTCTTAGACTGAAGGATTGTACCTCCCCTCCCCAAATGTATGCTGAATACAGAGAGTTTGAACACTAGAGTATATTGAAAGCATTCATGTGGATAAGAAGGTGCACTTTATAAATCTATGGGTCATTGAATGATCAGACATGCTACAATATTGTGAAGATTGTTGTTTTTTTTTTTCAATTCAGTTCCTTTGTATCTTAGATTTATTTAATAGTTGCGTTCATATCCTGTAGCTGCTTAATCTCCATTTTAGACTACTTTCTTTAAAGGAAAACTATAGGCCTGTGGGAACACCTTGCTGCCTGTGTTTCCTACTTTTAGCTTTCAACCAGTTGGCCACTTTTCATTGAATTTGGTGTGAACATATGCCAATGGAGGCAGCTCAGACTTTCTAGTTTAAATTTTCTTTCAAGTGGTGGGTGCACAAAGTTGTTAAGTAGGAGCATCACTAAGCATGATTTACCATTAAGATTCTGATATATGCAACTTTTTCTCAGTCTTTTTTTATTTTTATTTAGATTGTTAAAGAATAACAGCGAAGCTATGAAACAGGTTAAGTAAAGTTTTCAGAGCAGTAACCAGTGGACCAGTGGAAACAGGAATATGAAATTTTGTTTAAATATAATATAAACAAAATTTGTACTTAAATAATAAAGAAAACAGCAACAATGATGATGACAATGTTCAAAGCAATAATGATAAAACAACAGTAGTAATTTCTAATATACAGGGAGGATTTTTACTTTGTTGACCTGTTCCACAGCACTGCTTTTTATGGCAACTGCTGAACTGCTGGCTGCAAGGCTGATGAATCAACATGCCTGATACCCAATAATGTTTGGAATGAAGTATTTACAATTCACAGATCCCAGGAGGTCTTGAAAATGCTGTCACTCTACACATGGATGTTTTTCACGATTGTTTTGTTAAAAAACAGAGATGCAACAATCCTTGCACTTACAGCCCACCAGACACCAACTTTCACTGGGTGGAACAGGACTTTGTGGGTTAGATGTGGAGTCTGTGAACTTCAGTAGGAATTATTTTGCATGTTCATGTATCCCTGCAAGTGAAACCACGCTCTGTCAGAAAAGAGTGTTAGTTGTGGATCAGTCTCAACTTCGACAACGACCAACTGCAAAAATGAATCCTGCTAGCTGAATCGCGTGGCTGCACGGTGTGCAAGGATTACTGTTTTATAGGGTCTAAGCTTCAGCAATTGTGTTGACACTCCAGTCTCTTGAACTAGACATTTTGGTGATTTTCTAGGTATATGTTTGTATGCTGCTTTGTCATCTAACTTCTCAGTGAGCAGTCTGGTGCTTATGTTTTTGTTTCTTGCTTATTAAGGGTCATGTTCTAAGTTTATTCACCAGACTCAGTTGTTTGTCTGCTGGAAACAGTTTCATCGTGAAATTTACATTGCTGTTTTCTCTATCACTCTCTAGCAGATTGTGTTTCACATAGCTGTCATACAGAAATACATACTGCACTAAAGTATGCTGATTACTGCTGCTTCCTGCTGACAAGTCATAAACTCCCACGCATCAACCGCACCACTCGCCATGAAGCATAATGCTGTCAGGCATTCAGCAAGTTAATTCCCTTCATTCCAAACATTATCAGCCATCAGGCATGCTGATTCATTAGCAGAATTTGTTTGTGCCTCGCGGCAAGCAGCACATCAGTTGCTGTGAAGGGCGGAGCCGTGAACCAGTCAACAAAGTTAAAAATAAATTCTTTGCCTATACATTTGCAGCAATAAAAAGAACTGGTGGCACAAGTAGAATTTAATGTACTATGCACAAGCCCAGTCCATTAGAAAAATTATATTTTTTACTGTTGGATTATAATCTTACATTACCTAAATGAAACAGTAGAAGATTTGTAAGAGGTGGAAGTCATATATCAGTAAGAAAGTAGCCTTTATGAGTTCTGCGTGGATATTGTCACTTCTGTGTTGGAGTATTTATTTTCAGACTTTGTTTCGTTTTGCTTGAATTCAAAACATTCATAGACTTCACAGCTAATTTTCTTTTGTTTCTGATACTTGCTCTTTCCTCTTTTTTTTTTATTCTTTTCCCCCCCAGAGATTTTAACCTGATACTGTTTTATGTTTTAGAGTTTTGATGCTAAACGTTTGTATAGCTAAGTTTTGCTTAGTCTGATAAATTACTGAAAGTTGTCCCCATACTTGTGCAGTCCACAGTTTGTTTCTATAAAAGACTGGAAGTCAGTTAATCTTGTGTGACATATTGATGTGTTAATAATTGAGTTGGTTGTATGTTCTTGAGCTAAACCCAGGAAATTCTTTTTCCTGTCGTGGCTTTAAGATAAGATGTCCTATTTCTGTGTTGAGATCTCTTAACAGGTTTTGTTTGTTGTAAGGGAAATTCAACATTTAATTGCCCTTTAAATCATCACTTTGTTGGAATATGTTTTTGTAATATTCGGTTAAGCATCCAGGGGTGTGTGTACACAAGGAGGTGAGTAATGCTGTTTCCTCTGTGAAGGCATCTCATAGTTTATTTTGCATACTGTTTTGATTTGGCCACACAGCTGAATAATATACAACACACAGCTGGATCAGCAGAACAGATTCTCATTGTTTAAATGGTTATATCAGCTTACAAACTCTGTGTCTTTAACCTTTGATGTGCGGAGTGCACATATTGATACACTGAAAAGTATAGTCGTGGCTTAACTACACATTCATGCATTTGGTCATTTAAACACGCACAATTCTAAATATTTTTAAATTACTAAAATTCAATGTAAGCACCTTTTTTGTTACCTTCTTGATGTATATATAGGCTTCTGCCTCCCCCCCCCTGGTCATTTAACTGGAGTGCACCCTTGTGTGGT